ACACACACACACACACACACACACACACACACACACACACACACGAAAACAAATCTTTAAAACAGCAAGCTGTAGCCAGGTGGTGGTGGCGCACGCCTTTAATCCCAGCACTCGGGAGGCAGAGGCAGGTGGATCTCTGTGAGTTCCAGGCAGGCCTGGGCTACAGAGCAAGATCCAGGACAGGCACCAAAACTACACAGAGAAACCCTTTCTGGGGGGGAGAGGGACGACGACGACGATGACAACAACAACAACAAAAACAAAACAAAACCCAGCAAGCCACACCTTCAATCTCAGCACTCCAGAGGCAGGCAACCATATAATACAGCTCTTCATGTTGTGGTGAGCCCCAAACATAAAATTATTTTTGTTGCTACTTTGTAACTACTTTTGCTACTGTTATGTATCCTAAATGTGTAAATCTCTGTGGTTTTGATGGTCTTAGGCAGCCCCTGTGAAAGGGTCATTTGACTCCCAAAGCAGTTGCCACCTACAGGTTGAGAACCGCTGGTGTAGAGGATGGTGAACTTTGCCATCTGCAGCCAGGGTGTGACCAACATGTACGCTAATGTCAGTTAGACTAAGTCCAAGTGACCAGTCACTGAAAAAGACCCAGGCCTGCATGACAGGAATGAAACTTTTGGGGAGCTCAAGGGCTTCAAGGCTCCCCAAGTTCGTCAGGAGTCTTACCACCTCATTTCAGAGGACACGTGGTCCGGAACACAGAGCAAGCTCTGCTATCAGCCTCCAAAGGAGGCTTTGTGCAACTCCAAGTAAGAGACAAAGGTTTCTGGCTGTCTTGGCCCACGGCCTGCAATCCTGATCATAGGCTTAGGTCCAGTGACTGAGTCAAGAGGATATTGGCATTATATCAAGCAGCTTGTAAGCCGATCAAAGCCTAGAGGCTGCATTCTGCACAGGTGTGCAGTTACAAAGTCAACTCAGACCTGCCGGCGTAGGACTGCAGGCTGAAATACACTTCTGATTTGTAATTCACCGGAAGAAACTCAGGCAAGGTGTGATGGTGCTTGTCTGTCATCTCAGTATTCAGGAGGCAGGGGCAGCAGAATTGCTGTGAGTTCAAAGCCAGCCCAAGCTGTGCGAAATTCTTCAAAATAAACCATTTGGGACTGGGGCGAAGACTCAGTGGGTGAAGTACCCCCTGAGCCAGCATGAACACTGAATTTGAGTCCCCGGCACCTACATACAGCTTGGTGGTACACGTCTCTGTACCCCAACAGCTGGTGCAGAGACAGGAAAATATTAGGGGACTGCTGGCCAGCCTAGACTGACCACTGAACCTACACAGTGAGAGACCCTGTCTCAAAAATAAGGTGGAGGGGCTGGAGAGCTGGCCCAGCAGTTAAGAGCTCTGACCTCTCTTGCAGAGGACCCAGCACCCACATCAGGCAGTTCACAAACACCTAACTCCAGTTTCGGGGAATCTGAAATCCTCCCTTCTCCCTGGGCACCTGCACAGGCACATGTACATAAGTAAAAATAAAAATTAAATAAGGTGATCTGAGCGAGTGGCCTGGTGGGTACAGTCCCTCCTCAGCGCCGTGGAGAAGGCTGGTGGCCTGACTCTGTAATCCTAACATTGCGGTCTGGGTCAAAATGAGCTCACCAGCCAGCAGTGTGACTGAATTTTCGAGTTCTAGATTCAGTGAAAGACTCTGTCTCAAAACTATGGTGGGGCTGGGCGGTGGTGGCACACGCCTGTAATCCCAGCACTCGGGAGGCAGAGGCAGGTGGATCTCTGTGAGTTCCAGGCCAGCCTGGTCTACAGAGCCAGGCCAGGCCAGGCTCCAAAGCTACAGAGAGAAACCCCGTCTCAAAAAACCAACCAAACAAACAGACACTATGGTGGAAAGGTAGTAGAGAAAGACGCCTGACATCGAAGACAGTAATGCTGACCTCTGACCTCCACAGGCACAGGTGCACATGTACAGGCATGCGTGCATGCATGAACACATACACCACAAACAAATTCATGCCTGTAGACTCAATGCCTGGGTGTGAACTGAACAAATCCAGAGTGTGGGTTCGTTGGGAGGAGCCTCTCCGGTCCCCTGTGACTTTCTGAAAGGACGTGCTGGGCTGTACCAACTTCCCAGCTCAGCTACACTCAGGAGATTTTATTTATTTCCTCATATTTGCTTTTATGAGACTGGGTCTCACTCTGTAACCCAGACTGGCCTGTAACTCACTATGTTGCCAAGACTGGCCTTAAACTTGTAACAATCCCCCTGTTTCAGCCTCCCAAGTGCTAGGATTACAAGTGTGAGCCACAGGAAACAAAGGATACCACCCCAACCTCAGGAGGTGTGCACACTGAAAATGCTAATAGCTACAGAGGCAGAAAGAAAGCAGCCTGGAGCAAGGGTGGCAGTTCTGAAGCTGAGGCAGGAGGATCATGCAACTGCACACAAGCCAGGGCCACAGTGTGAGACTTTGTCTCAGTAAAACACACATAGGAAGCCAGGCTTGGTGGCACACACCTTTAACCCCAGCACTCGGGAGACAGAGGCAGGTAAATCTCTGTTTGAGTTTGAGGCTAACCTGGTCTACAGAGTGAATTCCAGGACAGCCGGAGCTGTTACACAGAGAAACCCTGTCTCAAGCCCCCTCCCCAAAACACACACACACACACACACACACACACACACACACACACACACGCACACACACACACACATACGCACACACATGCACACACACACACATGCACACACGCACACACATGCACACACACATACACACGCACACACACGCACATACATGCACACACACACAAATGCACACACGCACACACGCACACACACACACACACACACACATACACACACTCACGAAAAAGACTACCAGAGACAGGTCACACCAGAGAGGACAGAGCAGGGGCGGAGGGACAAGTAGAGATGACTTCATCCTACCCACTCTCTCCTTGCCGGTCTGCTCTTTTTCCTTTTTCCTTCTCTGGTACTGGAGTTGGAACTCAGGATGGCCAGCATGCCTAGCAGTCCCTTTCCGAATGAGCCATGCCCCCAGCGCCTCCCTGGGGGACTCTAGGCAGGGACTCTACCCCTGAGTTACATTCCCAGCCTTGTTTTTGCTGTTGTTTTAACTTGCAGACGGTATTCACTAAGTTGTCCAGGCCGGCCCTGAATTTATTCTATGGCCCTGACTAATTAACCCCTGACCGCTGCGGTTAGAGGTCGTGGACACAGCAGCAGATGGAACCAATATTTCCAGTCCTTTTCCTTTTTGCCAGACCCAGAGGAAACTCCACTCTCCCAAATTCCCTTTCCCCTCTGCCAAAGGAGCCATTCCCCATCACCGTCAGGAGGGACAAGTAGCTATCTGTGGGGTCTTTTAGCATACCCAAGCGCATGCTGGTTCTAGGCTCACTCAGTACCTGGGGCTCTTCTCAGCTGGCCTCCCACCCTAAACTTCTCCAGCTCATGAGTTCCCCTTCGCCCAGCTCTTCATTCCCATATAATTCTACCATTTCATCCATAGCTTTCTTGGTCCTTGAGAGCAAGAAGGTAGGTATGCATAGTAGGTATAACAAACATTATACTTTATTATGCAGAGGTTCATCACACAAATTCACACTCTCAGTCCCTAACTACAGTCCTAAGCCTATGTCCCCAAGGCTGCTCACCTGTGTGACGTGTTTTAGCCAAAAGTTGGGTCCAGCCTCTCACGGTTCTAGGGTCAGGCACAGGGCAGATCAAGATGGTGTCGCCAGGCCTCTAACAGTCCTGAAGATGTGAAAAGCAACGTACTCTTGGTTCTCTCCTTACATGCTGTCCAGTGGGCATCATGGGTTGTGTGTCTGGTTATCTGGAGTAAGTGGTGTCGCTGGTGGTAGGTCTGAAACCTGGGACAAATGGCTGACTGGAGGCACGTATTTAACATAGCAAAGCAGATGCTGGCCAGCAGGCTCTCAGCATCGCAAGCACCTCTTACAAAGTCCTCAGGCTGGCCAAGCCCGCCCCCTACCCTCAAGGCTCCAGCCCCTGCCTGAGCTTCCTTCTCTCCCGAAGCTTCTCTGATGCCTGTCTAACCAGCCATTTGGGCTGTGAGCTCTCTTGGCTCCTCTCCTGGACCTCTCCTCATCCGTTTGCCCTCTCTCCTCCCTCGCCCTTTTCTTCTCACGGCCCAGTCTAGTCTGCTAGCCTGGCTCAGTCAGAACACTTCCAGGTGCCTCTGACTGTGCTCTCTCTCATGGGTACAATAAAAGCCTTCCCCTCAACCATACCTTGGAGCAGTCATGTCCTCAACTTATACTCTTAAGACAGAGTCTCTCTTAGCTGCCCAGGATGAATTTATGCTGTTACCTAGCCTGGCCTTGAACTTCTGCCTCTGTAGCATCTGGGATGTCAGGCCTCCCCCACTAAACTCATCTTGGCACCAATTGTATGGGAGAAAAACAATGGAAAAACACACTTCCAAATCAGGCCATTACCTCCAGCTTTGAGCCGAGGGCTCTGTTTCTCCTGCCGCAAACAGGAACAGAAGAAGTCTTGTGTGACCTGTGAGAGGAAGGAACTTAGGGTGATTTGGAATAATGTGTTTTCGGGCTGCGTCTGTGCTGGTTCCCATTCCCCAGGAAGGGGAGTGACGATGTGGAGGCTGTAGGGGGGACCAAAGGCCCAGATCCTGCTGTGAAACCTCACATCTAGCTTTGGGGAAGAGAGTTGGGTCGTGGCCAGAGCTGTGTGGCCCTTGACTGCGGCTTCAGACAGGAGTTTGTGGACTGGGGAAGTACTGACTGGTAAACCCCCAGAGCTGCTCAGGTGTTACCAACTCATGTTATCACAGGTGACTTCATGCCCATCTATAGCAAAGGGAGCCGAGAGGCGCCAGGAACCATTAAGATCGATAAGAGAGAGAACAAGTGCACTGTGTGATTAGTGCACACAGACAGGACAGACCACCCAGGCGCGTGCCCCTCGGGAACTGTCCCTGACCATGGCCGAGGACGCAGTGGAGCCGGTGGTGGAGATGCCGAGCTGGAAGGCTCTGGAGGACACAGACCCCCAGCACCATAAGTGAAGTATCTAGTGTCTTCATAATGCAAATTCCTGATATGCAAGATATCTGATATGTGACCCCCCAAAGGAGCCACAACCCACAAGTTGAGAACTGCTGTTTCAGGGTGTCTTACCCCAGATACCATCCCGAATCATGCTTATTTCCAGTGCGCCTTTTTGAGACCCTTTATTTAGGTCCAGGTACCAAGATAAATCTATATAAATGGGTCCTAAGTGAAATGGCCTCTATTTCTGTGAGAATCCAGGCAATGCCATGCCTTTTCCCTCTTATCCTGGCTATCACCATCAAGTTGCCTTCTTCTGCTTGGACTTAGACATTTGAATGCTCTACCTTCCATATAATAGCAATAAAAATATACATATATATACATATACATATATATACATATATATACATATATACACATACATATATACATACACACACACACACACACACACACATATATATATAAGAGAGGAGCTTGGGTGAGTGGGAGAAGCCCGAGGGCCATGGAGGGAAGGGGGAGCGTGTTTGTTGAGGCCACAGGAGACCGAAGAGCGCGCAGTT